CCCCCCCCCCCCCCCAGCGAGGAAGAGTTAGCCCCTCCGCCGGAGGCACTGGAGGAGTCCGGTTGGCTCGCCGGCGTCTGGCCTTCCCACCGACCCCGCGCATCACCACACCCGGCAATACCAGCGCCATCATCATCTTCGGCGGGAGCAGGGATAGAAGTCGGAGGCGTTTCTTTGGATAACGGGGGCGGGGGTTCGGCGGGGGCGGCGGCTGTTGTTATCGCGAGAGAAAATGGGATTGGGGCCATCGTCGGCAACGGCGCGGGGCCGGCGAACGGGAAGAGTGCAGAGGGATGGGAGTGCGCTTCTGCGAAGAGAAATACAGAAGCGGTTCCTGTTATTTATTCGGGTGCTCCCGCTTCGGCAACGGGCGCACGATCGATGACGGGGAACGGGGAACCGGCGGCGGCGAAAGGAGGGGCAGTGATGTTGCCGGGGGGGCAGCCCAAGAAGGCTAAGCTGAACGGCAGCGCCTTGGTGGCAGCGGCAGCACCAGCACCAGCAGCACCAGAGGCAGCAGCACCGCCACAAACGCCAAAAATTGTACCATTATCACCGCCATCAACATCGACAGGGGTAGATATAGAAGAAGGAGCAGCGCCGACTCCGGAGAGCAGGGCACATCGCAGCGGTAACGGCAACGGTAGCGGTAGCGGTAGTAGCAGCGGTAGCGGTAGCAGTAGCGGTAGCGGTAGTAGCACCGGTAGCGGGGCCGCCTGCAGGCCGGACGGGCACGAGGGCCCCCTGTGTCCCTCCGGCAGTTTCTTCTCCAAGCCGCAGACGCCGCCGGGGTCTCCAACCGGAGGCGTTTCCAACGGCAAGAACGGCGCAGTCTCTACTGGAGAGACGAAGAAAAAATCGCAGGGCGAGGTAGGCATGCGCGCGAAAGTGGAGGTGGATGTGGCGGGCGGGGCACGAGGGCAGGGTCGGCATTCGCAGGAGGGCGAGTGTTCCGCCGCAGGTGGTACCGGCGGCGGCGGCGGCGGCTCGGAGAACGGTAGCACCCCAGCTGCAGGAAGGGCGGCCAACGGGGACGCGGGGCTGCTCGCGGAGGAGAGCACCGAGAACGGGCACGGGGAGAACATAAATAATGGCTTGTCTTGTAGCGCGGCGGCTAAGGCTGGCGGGGAAGAAGCGGCTGTGGTGGCGGCACCAGCACCGACGGCGGGGGCAACAGGTCCCGATGACATGGATGTCGACGCGCCGTTGATTTCCCCGGCTGAGATGGAAGCAGCGGCAGCGGGCGGTGGGACGGACGTTGAGGTCCCGCATGCCTCAGCACCCGCGTCGGAGAAGCCCGTCGGCGCTAATGGCGGAGGCGTGTCCGCGGGCGGTGATGAGGCTGTAGGACCGGCCAGGGAGGCGACCAAGTCAGAGAAGGAAAGTCTCGTCGATCTGTACCGCAGATCGACCAACATCCCCCTCCGGCTGGACCCTCGAGAAAGGTGAGTTTGTTTTTGCGTTGTCCTAGGCTCGGTTCTGGACGCTTTGTCCCATCCAGCAGAAAGTTCGTCCGTGTCTCCTGCCGGATTTGGCGCGGTTGCCGAGGTCGAGGGTTGACATCTGCAGGGCATAGTGCACCACACTGGCCGCCGGCTTCAGTCTTTTGTAAGCTCTGCACCGACGGTGGGGTGACGAGTACCACCCACCTACAAGTAGCAACAGAACACACGGTGTGGGTCCTTATTTTTGCTGTTGCATGTGCACGACGATTCCATGGCTATCGGGTGGGAGTTACGTGTTGGTCGGGTTCCTTGGGGGTGTATTCATAATCATAGTCGTGCATGCCGTAGTCGTTAGACAATTGACCTCGCATCCCTACAAAGCCGGGACGGAGCACGCCGGGTTCTCACCGGGCCAGGCTCTCACAGCACCAAGCGCGAAGCGCCGTAAGGTATCCGGCGAGTCGCATGAAGGGTGCGCTGCATCCTGCTAAGGGTGTTCGGCATCTTGTGCTTACTTCCTTGCGTACGGATGACAGCTGCGTATGAATTAATTTATTTTCTGGTGCTTTCACTTCCAGAGACAGTTGTAAGCACTGTGTAACTGCCTCGAGGGTGCTTGACCATTTTAACACAACGTGGTGCGATCATCCCCCTTTCGCGGAGTGAGGGTTCTCCACCCCGCACAACATGATCTACTCGACCACCATTTTGGTTACAGCCAAAAAAAAAACAGAGGTAAAAATAAAAAACGGTAACCTGGTTACGGAGTTCACGACGTGAATTGGCTTGTTTTTCAACGTTGTTGCCAAGCGACGAAAACCCAATCCCGATGGCAAACACCGAGGAGCGGGTTCCTTGGGGGAGGCATCAATTGAAGAGAACACGTTTCTCTGCTTTCTTGTTATTTGTAAGTGTGTGTCGTCTTCCGCAGAAATGTTGATGTCCGTCATGAAGGAACAAAGGTCCTGCCTCTTAGTGGAAGGCTAGCATACACACAAGTGGTGGACACAGCTGAACACAGATATCACTCACAGCAGGGTGTATGGGCACGCCAAGACGTGGCGTACAACCTGCACACGTCTCGTATTTTTCCCACGCCTTTGTTGTTCTGTTCTGTACCCTTTTCTGTCTTGCTGTTTTTTTTTGTATGTGCTTTCCACTTTGTTTATTTTCTCGGCCTTGTCACTTTGATCCCACCGCTCCCCGCCCTAGGGAGATCCTTGGCGTGCTGGAGGGCTCGCTGCACCATGTACAGTACACGGACGAAGTCGATCGCATCATGCGGGGAGGCAGGCTGCCGTACGTGCTTAAGAACCTCGGGCACTTCTTCACGTGAGTTGAGGACAGGGTTTTTGTTGTTGTTGTTGTTGTTGTTGTTGTCTTTACCTTGTTATACCGTGCCTTCATCTGTTCGTACTGATCTACCACGTGACGCGGTCGATTCCCGTGGTTACAGGCTAACAGGCGCTAAGAAAGGTATACTCAAGTACAATGGGCATACGATGTATGCTTGCCGCGAAGTTGGCCTTCGGGTGCGCGCGCGTTCACCCCATGTAGGCGCTTGATTCACGCCGTCGTCAGGCGTATAAGGAAGGAGCATAGAAGTTTCGAGAGGGCTAGAAGGACGGACAAACGTCGAGGGATACTTGTGTAACAAATGTGCGGTACATGAACATGGGTGTCGTTGATTGGAAGTCTGGACCGAGTGCTTCGTTCAGGGTGGTGCTTGGTCAAAATCAAGAGATGTAGGCGACACTTAAGAGTACCTCATTCCTCCACGCATACAAGTCTGACAACACGCGTCATCTTACACTCGCGTGTCACCGCATTCGCTCACATTTCAGGAGCGTGTGGGGGATGTACAAGGCGTCGGGGGTATCGCTGCCCACCTACTCCCCGCCCAGCGGCGCGGAGAAGAGGCTGCAGCCTCGGCACCTTCCTGCGTCGGTCAAGCCTCCTTCTCAGAACGGGGGCAGCAGGAGCGGTCCGGCCCCCTTGTCTGGGAAAGCTCGTGCGGCGAGCGGCGGCCGCAATGGCAGCAGCATTGGTGGCAGTGGTGCGTACGCGTGGTCGGCAGCTGGTGCCGGGGGGGGGAAAGCGCCGGCGGCAACGGCGGGCGGGGATGGAGCCACCGGCTACCGGGAGGACTCCTTTGTCCACAAGCGGACGGGCTGGGGTTACACGCTCGACTGGGTGAGGGCAGCGACGGCGGCAGAGTCACTTTTCACTTCGCGGTGGTACTTTTTTTTTTTTCTTCTCGCCCTGAAGTATTAGGCGAGAGCTTAATTCAGTAGGTGTTGTTGGGAGGGCTAGCCCTCTTCGTTGAGTGTTCTTGGCCGCCCAAACCTTTTATTGACCACGAGTACCATTTGTTGACTACACATACACCCATAAGAAATTGTTCTGGCAGTTTCTTGGGGGCAGACGTGCGCGCTCAGGATCTGCCGGGGAGATACCTAGAAAATCTTGTTCCTCGTCCTCATCAGACCTAGTGGTACCGCTGGTGTGGCTGTGCTGGTTGTTCATGGTATCGTGCGACGTATTCAGTCTGCTCGTGTCAAGTTTCTGAGAGACCTTCTATCGGTGCCTTCATGTTCGTACTCTTTGTGGTATGTGTGTCCGATGATTTTGCTCGAAACAGGCGTGCGTCCTCAGATCCTGCTTTGAGGTGGGGCGGAGACACAAGATCTTGAATCCGGAGAAGATGCGGAGCACCCATGGCATGCTGGTGAGAGTGCTTTCGGATCGGCTTTGAACTGGCGCCAGGGCTCAAGTTCATGTTGGCGCAGGTGTTGAGTTTGAGGCTCCAATTGTTCGGGGTGGAGGTCGGGGTTTTGGCGGCTTTGCGGTCGTTGACGGGCTGCCCCCCCCCCTTCTTTGCGGCCGGCAGGTTGACCGGAGCGCCACTTGGGCCCACCATCCGTATGTGTCTTTCGCACCCACCACTGGGTTTGTTAAAGGCATGGAGCCCATCTTGTGTGCGGAGGAATGAAGGATGCAAAACATGCCGTGCGTGCCTTTTGTTTATCGTGCTACCCAACGAGATGAATGAGACACCCAAAGATAGTGAGACCTCCATCCCCCGTATCACCCGACGGTGCGTTGCCCCTTTTTGCCTTCGAAATCGACCACCAATATCGGTCGGACGCCATGTAATTTCTATCCTCGGCTCAATGTGATTCGTTCCTTCGATCGGTATCGTGTATTCGGAATAAATCCGTGTCCAACTGCAGATGTGCATCTTGATGGACACGGAGCACCCGCTTGTCCGGGAACAGACGGGGTTCTCGTGCGTCCGGAGTATGAGGTGAAGGAGGATAGGTCGCTGTTTTTCGGGACGGTGTGGGTCTTTCGTGTGCTTCAACGAGAGTAAGAGGGGGGCGCTTGTCGTCTTTTTTCCAGCGATGCTTTGGTTGTGGAAGAACGGGGAGTCGAGACGTGAGCAGTCAGGTCAGTCGGATAGAATTGACAAGCATTATTAGCGGTGTCTTGGCGTATATTCTACGCGTGGTATGACTCTCCGCCTTGTTCCACGAATACCAAGGGCAAGGACAAGATTCTAGCTTTTTGAACAGCCTCCCACCGCCGTTGCTGCAACTTTTGGCTTGACGCCGGCCGCCGTCCCCCTGCAGCTATGCGGACCACGTAGCTTCAGCCTGGTAGGTGTGTGTGTGTTTTTTTCGTTTGCGATCGTACTTTTTTTTTTTTGCGAAAAGAGTTATTATAATTTCAAACACGAAAAATATTTCCGGGGGGGTGTACTGTCCAGCAGGAGTGAATGCCACCGAACTGAGGGTGAAAATACTGGCGTGTTTGTGTTTGCCATGCTGCAGGACGGCGTTCGGGTTGTCTGTGTCGGCCAACCTTACGCGGCTCTTCGAGGACCCCGACCTTCTGACGGCAAGCCGGCCTGTGCTGCCGTGGGAGCGGGGCCAGAAGCTCCAGAAGGGTGGCAGGAACGTCGAAGAGGTGAGAGCCGCAATGTTCAAAATTGTTTTATTGTGGGCCTTTTTTTTTTTTTTCACGGGTGCAATGGTGATTTGAAGGCCGGGCGGTACATGTGGCTGAGGAGGCTTTTCTGCGGGAGGGGATTCTAGGGTTGAGGGGGAAACAGGACGAAGGGGAAAGGGCTTCCCGTGCCGACTCTATCGGTTTCGTTGTTTTTTCTGAGGTTGCTCTTCCCAGACTCGTGTGGGCCGCGACGAGTCTGCCATACGGAAACTTCTTGGTTGCGGTTGTGGTCGTTCGTTGCTCGGCAAGAAAGGGCGGCAGGAAATCTTTTGTGGTATGCGGGCGAGGTAGGGATCAGGGGCTCTTTCGAGGGCGACGGTAGGGCGGCAAGGAGAAGGAGTAGCTTTGGTGATTGTGCCCGCGGTGGGTGCGGTTCGTAGTGGTTTGGTTTGGAACTGACGCGTTGTGTCGGCGTCCAGGAAGATGGTGCCCTCCTATCAGTTCTTGTCAAGCCCTGTCTGCGTGACCTTGATATGTACTTAGCTGTGTTGTTGAGATATTGTGTTGCGTTTCTAGTGATTCATTTTTTCACCAGTGTGCGAGCTTGTTTTTTTGAAACGTCTCTTGAACATGACGGCAGATAGCATTGCAAGCGAAAGAGAAGGCGGAGGCTCGACGGCGCTTGGTTGGGAGACATGGCTCCGGGGGGTGAGCAATGCCTCGTTGTGTCTGGTGTGCTAGTTGCAGTACTCCTGTACCAGTAGGTGCATCTGGTCGCTAGACGCTTTCGTTTTTTTCCTTGCCTGTGTACTCGCATAAATCGGGTAGGCGTGAACCTTTGTGGTGTGGTGTGCCGTATTGCCACACGATGTTGTTGTTGTTATGGTCCGCTTTTCATGACGACAACTAGAAAAGAAGCCCTGCGTCGTACGGCCGAACCCCAGATTGTCACAGACATGGCAACAAGAAAGCAGGTCTCTCGCCGCCATCGCCCACGGGCTCTTCGACGGCCCCGCCGTGTAGCTTATCGTAGTCCTCGGCGTTTCGGTTGACCTCATGTTGTCGGCCTCCGTGTGCCGCCTCGGCGAATTGTCAAAGGTTGGCGTGCGAGGTGACGCTTCTGGTGGATTCCGTGGCGGACTCGATCGTGTACCGGGAGATCAGCACGAGGTGCGTGCAGCAGTACAATCACATCGGGGCAGCACGCCGATTTGAACAAGATCATGCACGGTGCATGGTTGTAACGGTGCACCTTCATGCTCAAGCTCCCGAAGGTTCCTCTCTCCTACGCCCTGACCCGCACGCGCTCATGTTGTCGCCTCCAGCCTTGTATTATTTCATGACCCTCAGGCACATGTTGTCTCTCCCTCATGTAGAAATAGATAAGACCTCGCACGAATAGAACGCGTCCTTTGTTTGGTAGCTAGACGTATCACGCTCATGCTGTCGCTCATGGCCCACAACGGGTTCGCCCCCTTTGTCCCTACTCGCATGTGTCAACCGGTGAAGTACCTCCAACTTGTGGTCGGCCAGACCTGTAAGGTGCATGCCGTCGCTAACGGAGCCCACGCCCCCCCCCCCC